GGATATTCTCTTTTTCAATAAAAAACCCTTAATTTTTCCATGGAAAACAGGTACTTTTTGCAAGAAGCTTTGTTTAGTCAAAATACAATTTTCCTTTGAAAAATAAAGAGAGAGCTTTTCAACCTCTAAAATACAGGTTCCATAACTGTTTAAACATTTGGGAAAAGGGGTAATTATTAGATATTTATCAGCTTAAGAACAGCAGGTTTCCACATTTTTGCAGGGGTATTGTGGGGATAGGATGGAGTAGCATTCAAGAAAGAAAATGCCATCTAGCTGTGATGAAATAGGACTTCTACATGCATTAAATCTCAGGGACCACTCCTCCATCCCCTTCTCAGCTCCCTTCTCTATCTTCCTGTTCCTCAAGCCAGGAAGCTCTCTAGAAGATATGAAAAGTAATCCCGGTAAAGGCAGGACAGAAAGGAAGCAGGACATTGTCACTTACGCATCTGTAAAGAGAGAGTAGCGACCAAAGTAAACAGGATAAGTAAAGGGGATAAGCCTCTAGGTGGGACCTTTCTATTGTGAGAGAACAGAGGAAGAGAAGTCTGGTAGAGGAAGGAAATAGATTTTGAAAGTCGTATGCTAGGAGCTTGAAGACAATGTTACCTGCCTGATATTACAAGTCATGTTAGAAGAGCCAGATATGTTTCTCGACCTAATTTCATTCCCTTTGAACTTCTGAGAAGTGTTACCAACACCATTAGCTTCAGACTGCAAAGAATTAGACCAAGGCTGAGTGGTTTTCAAAATTCTTCCAAATAGTTAAGGGTTTTGAGGTGATTGCTTCTAAAAGCTAATATGACATCATGGTATGATAAAGGCAAAGACTAGCAATCTGATCAGAATCAGTATTGCTACTGACAGAAAAGTAATCAATAAAAGACCTAAAAGGGTAAAATCCCTCTCTAAGATAGTACAAACAGAGCAAAGGAACAAGTAAAAGATCAGTATTACTGGGTAACTCATGCACTATATGTTTGAAAATGTATTTCTTGAATTTATCTGGATATGGCCAATTAGAGAGAGCTCTTACCCTGCAGGGTCCCTGAAGGACTGATTTTTCTTCCTTAGGAATATTATATATTACCACAGGTCTGCAAGTTGACCATCTCTTTTACTTTATGCATTCAGGAAACAACATTTATATGACCTGTCAACTGCTGACACAAGCTTGCAGAAATAAAATTTGTTTTCTTGTATATGAAATTGTAATAAAATATTTTTTAAAGTTGATCATCATTGATAAACTATATACAAGGTGATGATGTACTTTGGGAATGTTAGAACAAGCAACATGTATGTTAGCTGTGTGAATTATTTTCTATGGGATTGCATTATTTTAGGATTAAGGAAATAAGTTAGATGTGGCAGTCTTAAATGAATCACCAGTCTAGCTCACTGATTACCTTGCAGGACAATGTTCTCAGTAGGTAAAGAAAAATTCAAACAAGTAAGTTAGCCTAGCATAAATGAAGTCTCTTAAGTTTCATAAAGAGCAACAAGAAATTGTGGGTAATTTGGTAGTAAGCTACAGCTTCAAAAGTAATAACAAAGAGGCAAGGGAAGAGAAGGTAACCCCAAATCCTCCACTACAGCAAGTAGAATCCATTAATATAAACAGTCTCCCAGTATAATCCATTAAGTTCCTTCAATTATCTCTTCTGAAACCATCTCTGCTACTAGGCCTATCACTAAATTAATAATGGTAAATATGAAAGATTATATCTGACAATGACAGGACACCAATTAAAGATGAGGCAAGCAGATAACTGTCACTGAAAAAGTCTTTTGGTCATTCTGTGTCCGTAACCAGTGAGTTTCAATGAATGATCCTCACATGTGTCCCCCTTTTCCATCTAAACTTCATCATGCTGTGCTGCACATTAAGATCAAATGAACATGTGTCTAGATTCCAGCTTTCCTAGGTGTTGAAACACTCACCTTGGTGTTTTTTGGGCATTTCTCTCCCAGTAGCTTTTATTTCAGTTCCTAGCTGCACTGCATAATGATCAATAACTTAACATACTGTGCTTTTCTCAGTGTTCTGTCTCTTCTTTATTCTGGCAATAAATAAATGAGCCTTTTTTTCTTTTTCTTTTTAAATTTTTTATTACTAAGATCAATAAAATCAGAGTTCTGTTTCTACCCAGTCTCCATTCACCTTAGCCAGTCATTGTGGGGACCTGCTGGTCTCTTAGTAATGGTTCATGTCAAGGAGGTGATTGTTTCTATGCTAAGTTTATCTTAATTGCTTCCTCTGAGATCCAGTCTCCATAACTTGCTACCTCTGTCTCAGCATACCTGATGTATAAAATCACATCTTCCTATTTTTGGCGTATTTCCCAACATGCAGTGAATGCTCTGTAATCTTCAAAAATGATCCTCCCAAGAAAGCTGTAACTTCTGTTCTGAGGAACATTTTTGTCTGTGAGGGTGATTTTTATAACTGTAGTTAATGCTATTTCTAATCTGCCTTTGTTACCAAAGGTTTCAGAGAGGTCATGGCATCTTAAATTCAGGCTCACCTTGTCAGAAATATTCTATATATGTACAAGGTTTTAAGCGTTCTTCTCGTCCTGTAACAACTATCATCTTCTCCAGGTGTCTCTGGATTTACTGAGACCCTTGTGCTGTTACTCTAATCTGAGACTCCTGGTAGTAGTTTCAACGACACAGACGAATCACTGTGCACTCCAAGAGCTGTAAAAGGTTCAAGTTTTAAATGAAAACCATTAACTGTATGTTATCCAGGAAATAAAGTGAGGCAGGCTGGATGTTTTAGGCAATATAATGTAAGGAATTGTTATCGTTAGCGCTTCCCCAATAACAAAATTAACTTTAACTATCAGAGGGTCCAGAGAAGGACCACTCGTATGGTTCAGGGCTTGCAGGCAAAGCCCTATGAGGAAAGACTGGGGCACCTGGACCTCTTCAGCCTCTGCAAGAGAAGGTTGAGAGGCGACCTTGTGGCTGCCTATAAGTTCATCACGGGGGCACAGAAGGGAATTGGTGAGGTTTTATTCACCAAGGCGCCCCCAGGGGTTACAAGAAATAATGGCCACAAGCTAGCAGAGAGCAGATTTAGACTAGACATTAGGAAGAACTTCTTCATAGTTAGAGTGGCCAAAGTCTGGAATGGGCTCCCAAGGGAGGTGGTGCTCTCCCCTACCCTGGGGGTCTTCAAGAGGAGGTTAGATAAGCATCTAGCTGGGGTCATCTGCCTATGCAGGGGGTCGGACTCGATGATCTATTGAGGTCCCTTCCGACCCTAGCATCTATGAATCTATGAACCTATGAATCATTTATGCATTCATATGGTAAAGTAAGAAAATACCCTATTCCTATTAAAGTGATGACAAAATAATTACCAATATTTGAAGCCCAAATATTATAACTATCATTCAGACTTCTTCAGGGCTAAAAAATACCCCCTTCAGACTACCTCTTTTAAGAAAAGCAAACTTTTCATAAACTACTGAACAAAAAGCAAAGTGTTTTAAAAAGTGAGTTACCATTCCCCAGGACCAGCTATAAAATGCATTGTAAAAATCTATAGTTACTCAAACTTTGATGTTAATATGTCAATAAAATAAACAAGCAGATTCCAAATAGTTTTGCTTTTTGGATTCTCAAAGTATTAGTAGAATATACACAGCAAACCAAATATTTCTCAGTTAATACTATCCATTTCTTGTATAAATGTGGTGTTTTGAACACCTGTAAAGAAACCCATTTGGGGTCCCTATATTATTAGTCTAGAAAATGTGGTTAGTTTAACCCCAAATACAGGGAAGAATACAGCTACAAAGTTAGGGCCCCTCTACACATGTGTAAGATAGGAGCTGATGAACAATCCACACAACTGTGCCTCTTGCCATGCCACATTGCAAATCAGATCCCATCATGCCTTATTGCTGGTATAGGGGGAGCCTGATCCTGGGCTTCTCCTGCACAGGCAAGAAACAACCTCCTGTGGCTGGGAGCCTCCTCAACTGATGGGGCTCCTAGCCACAGGAGTGCACCATGCTCTCCTGTAGCTGGGACCCCCATCAGCAGACCTGGACTTCCTGCTGTGGAGGTGCCCTAGAGGTCCCTGCAGTAGGGAGACCACAGTTGATGTGGTGTCCCATCTGCAGAGGCACTCCAAGTATCCTCATAGCTCAGAGACTGTATGCAGCTTGTAACAGGAACCCTAGAGCTCTTGTTACTTTAAGAGAGAACTGTAACAGCATGAGCCCAGGCAGCTGTCCAATGGTGGGCTTTTACCCCAAAAGTCTCGCCCCTATCTGTGGTAGAGGCTTGCCTCTATCGGTCTAGGTGTTGTCAATCTCTGGAGCTCATCACTTGTCTGAGCGGTTTCTTTTCCTTTTTCTTCCTTTCTGACTCTATCTTCTACACCAAGACAACTTTAGCACCTTGGCTAACAAGCCGAAGTCCACTACAACGTCTTGATGGCCCCTCCCACATGTCCGCAATCTCACCTGCCATGACTTGTTGTTACGGGAAAAAAATAGAATGCCGGGGCATGTGGGTCTTGACACTTTGGCTCTTGCAATTTGTCTTAGTATAGTGAGGACTCCACCAGTCCCTACACCCTCGCCCGTTCCACTGGATGGTAATTCAGTCATCTCCGCAATCTGCCTTTGATCAGTAAAAAAAAAATGCTCCTTGGGTCTCTAGGAATGGCCACTCAGTATCTCCGATGGGCCCGGTTATACCTCACCCAGCTGGCACCTGGCACAGACCTGCCAGTAATCCTAGCCAGTCTTTTTCCTGGCTTATTGTTCTGATAGTTGTAAACACGCTATCTGGGATGACTTTCCTCTCAGCCTAACGAAAAGGAGAACAAAAAAACAAACTGGCCCTTCTTCTGCCTTTACAGTCACAACTTTGCAGTACCCTTTTTCTTCAGCCCTGCTATTAGGGTCTTTACGGTACCTTCTAACTTGTTTCTCTCCTGGCAGTTCCTTCCGGGTTCTCTCCCCTGGCAGCTCCCTCCACAGAGTTGCTTCCCTTAAGCCCGGTGTCCCTTGCTTCCTCAGCGCCTCCAGCTCTCCCTGCCATCTTGCTGCCTGAATCAGTCTCTTCCGGTTCCTGTGTTGCTCTTTTGCCTGCCCCACATCTCATTTTATCCTGGACCTCCAGCTGACTCCCCCTCCCTCTCCTGAAACACCAGGTGAAGAAGGAGCCCTGTGGAGTTCTTTGCAATACAGGTGAGGCCATTTTACTTCTCTGGGACTCTTCTCTCTCCTCACAGCAGCTAAACAGGAGTCAGCTGTAAGAAGGAAGGTTGCAGGGGAACACCGGTGCTCAGGCAGTAAGCTGGCCCTGTACTTGACCAGGAAGGAGGCTGTGGCTGGGAAGGTGCCTAGAGAATATGGGGCTGCTTTCATCTCACTTGTCCATGCACATTTCCAGGCAGAGCACCAATGGGTGGCATCCACCAGCTCCTGGGGTGCCTTTGAGGATTGGGGGGTGCGGCCCGTGGGGCTCTGCTCAGTGCCCCCTCAGGTGCACTTATTCTCATGTATTGACCCTTTGACCCACACGACACTCCTATCCTGTTTTTTTCATTAGTTGTCCCAAGTATCTTGTTGTAACATTCACCCATTAACCCCCATACAACAGGGGCTACTCATTAGCTGGGTGGGTCTTAGGGCCTACGGTATTTTGAATGTTACAAATATACAGGCAGTAAGCTGCCCATCAAGACACAGGGTGCACCTGCAGTTAGTCTGGGGTACCAGCCAAAAAAGGGAATAAACTAACTGTTAGCAGAGAAGTAGCCAGGGGCTAGCAACTAAGCAGCAGCAAGGGAAGGCAGTCAGGTTAGTAGGCTCAGACTGAATAGCCGTGTGTGTCTGGCTCATGAGGCACCTAACCAGAAGGGGACAGGGCTTAGGGAGCATTTAAACTCAGGGTCTGAGACTTGATTAGCTAGTTAATCATGCCTTTAGTGGAATGTGGAGATGGGGCCTTAGCTGAATATATTTGTAGTAGACACCCAAATGTAGTCACTTAAATTCAGCATTTTAATGTGTGTGCAGCTATCTAAATATAAAGTTAGGCTTCAGAGCAGAGGTTGGGAACATTTCCCATGAAAACTATCCCCTACCAAATTTCAAACAAAAGAGGTGTAGTTTGTACAAAAGGTAGCAGCTTTAGAGATAGGGTTAGCTTTTTCACAATTTCAGGTGCTATTGTGCACTACGGTACCCTACAGGCTGAAGTTATTTTATTATGCTTTGACCTAAATCACAGAATTTAGCAACAAGAGAAAAAATATATCTGGTCACCTTGTGTATTCCCTTGGCAGCATGGGACAATTGTTTTCTCATTATTGTCATCATCACAAATATGTAGAAGCTAAGTCAAAAAATAAACAATTAAAAAAACTCTCAAATACAACTTCAAAAATTACTTCCAAGTTAAATATATTCCTCACAGAACATATGGTTGATGATATTGTGGATGTCTATATAGAAAAAAGGAGTCTGTAGCTTCCTAGATTCACAAATTTGTATGTAACAATGGAGGAGAAAAGCATATCTAATTATTTACAAGAAAAGGGCCTGGTCTGGCATAAACAGGAAAAAATGTTTCATAAATCAACTCTGCACTAACCTTCTAAACAAAAATGAACCACACATTGAGATGCAATTACTTTGCCTTATGTATCAAAGGATAAGGTGACTTGGTATCGAAGAGGAGGCAAAGAAAGAGTTGTTCTTTGTTCTCAATACTCAACACAACAACCTATTATCATGGTAATTATGAACACTCAAATGAAATGCATTGTCCTTGACCCTTGAAGATTTATGATTGCAAGGAAACTTCCCTTTCACTCTTACCACATCTGTGGGACCAGCTACCCATCCCATCCCATGCCAGTAAGTCTCACAACACCCTTCTCAGATCATGTGAGGTCTAAAACTTAGGTCCAGTTCTATAACTGAGTCCAAATAAACAGACCTGTATACCTATGACCTTTTAGAAAGTAATCAACATTAGCAAGCTCAAGGAAGCTGGGATCTGTCCTGGGCCCAATGCTGTTCAGTGTGTTTATTAACAATTTGGATGCTGGAATAGATAGCTTCTTGAGCAAATCTGCAGATGACATGAAACTGGGAAGAACTGCAAGCATACTAGAGGAGAGGTGCTCAAATTCAGTAAGATATGACAGATGCAAAGAAGGGCTGGTGCTAAGAAGATGAAATGAAATGCTGACATATGCAAGGTGCTACACCTCGGGAAGAACAAACAAAAACATAAATACAAAATGGTTGACATCTGGGTGCATGGCAGCACTATGGAGAAATATCTGGGAGTCTTGGTGGACCACAGATTCAATATGAGACTGCAGTGTGACATAGCTGCACAAAAAGCAAATGTGGTTTTGAGCTGCATCAACAGAAGCATTAGATGTAAGACATGGAAGGTGATACTGCTTCTTCAGTTGACACTGGTTAAACCTCATCTCAAGTATTGCATGCAGCTTTGGGCTCAACATTTTAAAAAGGGGTTAGAGAAGGTGGGGAAGGTCCAGCAACAGTAACAAAAATGATAAAGGGTTTGGAAGACAAGCCATACAAGGAGAGGTTGAAGGAAATAGGCATTTCCAGCTTGTGGCACTTAAGACCAGTCTTCAAATATGTGAAGGGTTGCCATAAAATGAAGGGAAAACATTTTCCTCTCTTGTTGCAGAAAGCAAACATGGACCAATGGCTTGAAATTGCAGCAAAGTAAATTTAGATTGGATATCAGGAAGAATTTGTTTACTGTTAGAACACGGAGACAATGGAATAGACTGCCTAGGAAGTTGTGCAAACTCCATCATTGGAAGTCTTCTACAAGAAGTTATACAAGCATTGGTCAGGGATGATCTACAGTTTAATGCAATGGCGCTTAGACAAAATAAAAGGAAAGATTGAGGTGAAATCGACTACAGATTATGATAAACTGATGGATAGCAAATTATATTTAGAGATTTGCTTTCAGGAATTCGCTTGTAGGTAAAGTAAAAATGCATTAGAACAATGGTCCAGAGGAACAGCAACGATGAATTGGTTTCTAAAAGTTTGTTTGTAACAAAATTTCATATTCTCAGCATTCATGGTAGACATGGTGTCTGAAGCCAATAGACAAGCAGGCATGCACATCCTGGGAAATTCAAACAGTGTACCAGAACATGAGATAAGGTGGCATTAAGTCACAGTGACCAGCTGCAGAGCCCCTGGGATTTCTGTTTTTGGTGGATGGATCAAATTAGGAGGCTGAGGCATGCCCAAATTAAGACACCAGTAAATGTCCAAATTAAGATGTGTGCATGTGATGGGTTTGGGAAACAAAGGAATAAGCTGACAGGACAGAACGTGGACAGTGCGACAATCACAGGGAAATGAATCAACAATACCCGGAAATGAACAGCCATCAGGAGAAGAAAGAACACAAGAGGAGGGATTTCAGAGCAGCAAAGGGTCCCCGAGGCCACCATGGACAGAGGGCATACCACCAACCCATTTCACCCACCCCACTGGGTGGGGAGGGGGCTCAGCCCTTCACCTCTAAGCTGTTGACATCTGACATTCAAGAAAGAACCAAAGAGTGAAGCTTGCATACTGGCCTATGTGACAGCCTTAGGACAAGTAGATACAGATTCAGGGGTGTGGGGAGCAGCTATTTTGTTTGCCTTGCCTGCATTATTCTATTATGGCATATCAATAAAAACTGCCTATTATTGAATGGAAGAAGTTGTGGCTGCTCTAAGGGTTTGGGTTCAGCCAGAATAAGGTATCTGGGTCTTAAATCCAGTGCTAACAACAGCATCATCAAGCAGAAGAAGATCTGACAGGCTCCTGTTTCCTAAGAACTGGGTCATTTACATTCTTGTTTCCTAAAGACTGGGTCATTTACATTGTCTGCAAGCTGGATACAGGATGTAAGGCAGGGGTGGGCAATTATTTCGGAGAGGAGGCCGCTTACTGAGTTTTGTCAAGCCATTGAGGCCAACATGACAGGCAACCAGGGGCAGATAAATATTAATTTTCTAAATTTTTTAGGGGCCCCATGGGCCAGATAGAATGGCCTGGCGGGCCGCATGTGGCCTGCAGGCCACAGTTTGCCCACCCCTGATGTCAGGTATATTTTAGCTACTGGCATTTAATTCAGTACTTTACCATGTTTTAATCCAAATTCTGTTGACATTTACCTGGTTTTAGGTATTCTGTATCTAATGACTGTTTGATTGAGGTCCAGTGGATGTCCAGCCATTTCTGACCAAATTTCTTTCCAGAGTTTACAGTGCTTTCGGAGTGAGAGAGGGTTGTATACATACATGGGCGACTGGTGCCTCCTGGGACAGGGGGGGCACTTGCTCCCCCAGTGGACAGTCAGCGACTGACCTATCCTGCTGACCCACAACTGGCAGCACTGGATCGGCTGCAGGGGGACTGCTTCTCCTGGCACATTCCCCACCCGGCACTCTCAGGGTGGGCACCAGCGCTCTAACCTGCCCCCCCTGCCTGGGAACACTGCTGTCAGGGGTGCACCAATGCTCCCAGGGGGTACATGTGCACCCCATACATCCCCTATGCATTGCCACTGTATATATACAAAGAATTCCCTCTAAGTCCAAGTATTGGTGGCCTGATGATATCTCAGGAGGAAGCTACTTTTTAATAAACTTAATACTTGTAGCCAATAGAGCACAGGTCAGCTATCAGGAGATCTGCATGAGGAAAGCATGGTAGATCAATAATTGAGGAACTGGAGTATGTAGTCAGTCAACATGGAAAAGGGCATACAGGTACAAGAGGGTAAAATAAATGAGTAAGATACAAAAGCTCGTGCCATTTATACAAATCATCAGTAAATACTTACACTTGAATAAATCCTCCTTTTTTTTTTAGGACTGTTCATCAGCTTAGCAGTGCAAATGGGGCCAAAAGAAGCCTTGCCACTGATCTGGTTTCTGTGGTATAGTATTTGCCATGTCATTCAACCATGATGCCTTTTATTGTATCTACAGCACCTGGGATTCCAAGAGGGTTTCCTTTCCCTATACTAGCCAAGCCTAGGACTGCTGAGACACATAAATAAATACCTGTGTAAAAATCTGTACTTATTTAAACTGTAGTGGTAGCCATGCTAAAATGAACATAACCATGCAAATCTAATTGCACAGTTAATACCTTTATTATTTATACAAGCATATCCAGGGTGAGCAGGATCCTTCCAGAAGCCTGAACAGAGTTAAATGGAGGTAAGCATGCACTTAGTAATAATACCAGGCCTCCTCTTCTGACAAATCTGATTCCAGAGTGCTCAGTGAACATTTACCTAATTACCTACTAACTTGTTTTTGTTTGGAAATGATTTATAACTACAATCCCATCATTAGCAGTTTTAGTAATAAATTCATAGCTAAGATTTGTAATAAATAATTTTGTAGCATGTTTGTATCACTGTACATTATAACATTAATCTTACTAATGCTAACAAATCTTAGTAAATACCATTATTAGTGTAAAATGAATGCAACACAGAAGGTGAAATACACAGACTATGGCCACTTTTTCATCAGAAGCCCAAATGAAGAGCATTCCGTCTTGCTCTATACATCACTGTATTCCACCTAAGTCCTTATATACATTATGGCTGCTTTTGTGGCACACGAGCTACATTCATTAAATAACAAAACTCCAGGCAACTGCTCTCCTTTAGTTTCACAATACACTGCTCCATGTATTAGCAGACCAGACAGTGATTTACTACGTATGTTATTCTAAATTCAAAAACATGATTCATAAATTGTATTATGCTTTTTTATATCACTTTATCTCTGATTGCTATTATGTGACTTCAAAAACTATAGCCATTACATAGGAAAGAGAAATT